GGTTCTCAATAATGTGATTCAGCTCGCAAGGTACCAAAGATGGCACTGCCACAAAGAGCAGTTGGAGATATGTCACTAGTGGAGTAACCTAGGGTTTGACATTGGGACTAACACGTTTAATATCTCCTGTAATGGCCTGGACGACAGGGCAGAGTGCACCCTCAGCAAGTTTACAGACAACACAAAACCGGGCTGAGTGGCTTTTACACTATGTGGTTGTGCTCCCATTCAGAGGGACCTGGACAGGCTCCAGAACTGGTGCCAACAAAAACCCCATGAAGTTTGGCAAAGGGAAATGCAAAACCCTGCACCTGGTCAGGAATAACCCCGTGCATCTCCACATGCTGGGGGCTGATCAGATAGAAAACAGCTTTGCCAAAAAGGACCTTGGAGTCTTCGTGGACAAGAAGTTGCACACAAGCCACCAAGGTACTCTTGCATAAAAAAAGGCCAACAGCCACCTGAGTTACATTGGGAAGAGCACTGCCAGCAGGTCAGAGGAGCTGATCTTTCCTCTCTACACAGCACCAATGAACACGCATGTGTTCACTGGGACTGGACTGGGCTTCCCACTGCAAGAAATACATGGGCTTACTGAAGCAAGTCCAGCAAAGGGCCATGAAGATGATTAAAGAGTATCTTTACATGAGGAGATGCTGAGAAAGTTGGGACTGATCAGCTTAGAGAAGAGATGGCTCTTATCAGTGTGTATAAATATCTGATGGGAAGGAATGAAGAAGAAGGAGCCAGACTCAACAGGACAATAGACAATGGGTAAAAATTTAAAACCCATATGATTTCATCTAAACACAGGAAATCTTTTTTTACTGTCACAAAAGTCCAACACTACAATAGGTTGCCCAGAGAAGTCACCAGATGCAGAGATATTTGAAACCCAACTAGACACAGCTGTGGACAACCTGCTTTAGCTGACCCTCCGTGAGCAGGGACCTTGGACTACATGACCTCAAGAGGTCCCTTCCAACCTAAACAATTCTGTGGTTCTGTGAAATTGATACAAGTTTGAGAACTTATGCTGATAACTAAGGCATTAGGCTAGGAAGGAACATGCGTTTAGTCCCCGTGCCCTGCCACAGACTTTTTTTTTATAAGCCAAAGCATTTATTTTAGTTACTAAAACCTGCCTAACTCAGACCCTAGAAGGACAAGCATACAAACAATCGAAAGAAAAGGTCTTTCCATGACTTAGTATATGAATAACCTATATGAGGCATTCTGTTCCCTTTTCCTCCTCTGAAGCGTCTGGTTAGCCAACTTCCAAAACAGAATACAGAACCAGTTGGGCTGCAAGGTTATTTCTTTATGGCACTTTTTATGTACACGTGTGTATTTACTGTTGAGGAGAGTACAGAAAGGACAAGACATATGACTTTGTTTATGCATGTATTCCCCGACATTGCAGTCTAATGGGTTGGGGCAATCCCAAGCACAAATACAGGCTGGGCAGTAGGTGGCCTGAGAGTGGCCCTGCAGAGAAGGACCTGGGAGTGCTGGTTGATGAAAACCTGAATAAGAGCCAGCAGTGTGGCTGGCATCCTAGGCTGCATCAAAATAAGCGTGGCCAGCAGGTCAAGGGAGTTGATTCTGCCCCTCTACTCTACTCTGCTGATACATCACCTGCAGTATCGCATTCAGCTCTGGGGCACCCAACATAAGAAGGACACGGACTCACTGGAGAGAGCCAGAGGAGGGCCATGAAGATGATCAGGGGGCTGGAGCACCTCTCCTATGAGGACAGGCTGAGAGAGTTGGGGCTTTTCAGCCTGCAGAACAGAAGACCTTATAGCAGCCTTCCAGTACTTAAAGGAGGGCCTACAGGATAAACGAGGAGGGATTCTACTAAGTAATGGTTTAAAACTGAAAGAGTGCAGATTAGATTAGATACACAAGAAAAATTCTCTTCTGTGAGGGTGGTGAGGCATTGGAACAGGTTGCCCAGAAAAGCTGTGGATGCCTCATCTCTGGAAGTGTTCAAGGCCAGGCTGGATGGGGCTTTGAGCAACCTGGTCTAGCAAAAGTTGTCCCTGCCCATGGCAGTGGGGTTGGAATTTGATGATCTTTAAGGTCCTTCCCAATCCAAATCATTTGATGATTTTAAGATTCTAGTTTATTCAGGTGAAAGAAAAAATAGTCAAACTACAGGAAGAATAGGGAGGAGATAGATATTAAAGCTCGCTGCTGTGTGCAACTCCAACTGTTTATTATCAGTGTGTAAATTTTGTACGTGAGAAGTTTTAATGTTAATAGAGTACAAGGCTTCATTCCTAAAATAGCTAATTCACATACTATACCAAATAATATTTACATTTTAAAGTCAGATGAAGAGCTAAGTGCACAAGATCATAATAAAAAAATCACAAAAAGTTGTAAAAGTCTCAGAAAGAAAGGCCACTAAATAATGCAGCATTTCATGGGCCACTGGCTTGTTTCACTTTGATTGTCTGCACCTGAAAAGGGCATTAATGGCCTGTTAGGGAAAGGCACTCAAACTTGAGAGTGACCTAACAGACTGTATCCAATGTTTACACCTGAAATATCTAGAAATAGCCCAAGTCTGGCTGTTTTCCTGACTGAAACGGGCACATTCTAATTTTTAACAGCATCATAATGCTCCAGGCAGTCCACTTTCCAGAAAGGTTTGTATTTCTCAGGTGATGAAAATCACTCTGCTTTCGGCCATCTCTGAGACCATCACAAAGGCGTGCTGCAACTTAACCATCTAGAAAGGCACTACCTACGGTGCCTCATCAATGAAGTAACAGAGTATGTGTGCCAGAGTCAGCTTTTTAATTAATATGGAAAGAGTAAGAAAGCCTGAGGCTGCAGACTGAGGCAGAATATGTGAAATTACAGCACCAATAGTTTTTCTAAAGTCACTTTTTTTGGTGACGAGATCAACATAGGAACAGCTCTAAGTTGGGGTAACCGGTTGTTGCTGCGCTGCTCTGAATGCAGAAGATTTAGGATGAATAAATGGCACAGAAGATCAATTAGAGTCCTTCCTCTAGAGAAACTGCATGAAAGAAATGGACGTTCCCATGTCATACCATGGAGGTGTTGGCACTGTTAAAGACAGCACTGCAGCTGAACAGAGGAGAACATACTAACTCTGAGACAAGTCTAAGTGCAGAAGCCACATGAGGAAGCAGCCCCTAGATTGGGAGATTCCAAAACAAAAGTAGTAAAAACTCTACTGCTACTGTGCGTATCGCCCTCACAACTAATCCCAGCTGTTCCTACTCCAGAGGAGATGCTTTTGTGAATCGTGGACAAATACATCCATGATCAGGCTGACAGGACCAGCAACACTGACATCCCATTTTCAAGCAAACAAAAACACAGATGTGTCACTGCCACACGTGTTAATGTAAAAGTTATCGTTCCATAGACTCAGCCCTAATCCCAGGAGCTCCACATTCACTATGCATCTTGCAAGAAAAGAGGAAGTTAGTGTCAAAGCCCAGACTAAAGATTCAAAAAATGTCAGTGTGCAGAATATCCAGCCATGTTCCTCTCCCTGCCTAAAGAGTAACATCAACAGACAGCAGTAAGTTGTTTTGCAACAGGAGAGCGCTACTGGTAATACAGGTATGACTCTATAAGCACACACGTCTGTGTCATCTACCCACCACTCCCAGGAAAAGTAAGTAGCATCATTCTCATATAACATTCACAGCTTTTCAACTGAAAGATTCAAAAGTCAAACTTTTATTACCCACAGCAACAACCTATTCTTAGCCTTGTTAAGCCTCTAGTTCTACAATAACATGAGTACACACAGCAATGCATGTAACTCCTCTGTCACAAAAAGCCCAAGACAGTGATGGAAGCAGGACTTGCAGATGTGTAGAATGCATTCTCAAGAAATGCAAAGGAAGACGGGAATGTGCGGTGGGGTTGACTCTGGCTGGAAGTCAGACGCCCACCAAAGCCGCTCTTTCACTCCCCTCATCAGCTGGACAGAGGAGAGAAGAGATGACAAAAGGTTCACGGGTCAAGATAAGGACAAATTCTCACTCCTCTCTTCTGACCGCTGACGTCATACAGGGGTTTTTTTCCCCCCTTCTTAAATATGTTATCACAGAGGCACTGCCACTGATACTGAGCCCTGGCGAGCGGTGGGTCTCTCTTGGAGCTGCCTGGCATTGGCTCCATCAGACACCGGGGAAGCTCTAAGCAGCTTCTTCTGGCAGCTGCCCCTACAGTCTGTGCCACTACCAAAGCCCTGCCACACAAACCTGATACAGAAGGCCAAGTAGCAAAGACTTGCTGCAGTAGTGCTTAAGGCAGAGAAAGTAACTCTAGATCTGTAAAACGTGGATGGGCACAGATGCAGCAGATGAATCCAAACAGCATTAAGACACTAATCAGAGCACTGAGACTAGACGATATGTGCTGTTTTCAGGCCTAGTCTTGACACGTTGCAGACACCGTGCTAGTCCATTGTTCTCTCATTTCCCTTCCCTCTTTTCGTCTACATCTGCCTACATTGGAAGCTCATGAGCTCAGTCTACCTCTGCCTGCATCATGACTAGCTCAGGAGAGTTCAGATTTTGACTGGACCTTCTACAGGCAATATATCTATATTAGCCTGCTGTAAATATACTGAATACAAAAATTATGGGAGGCATATGCAGCCCAGAGGGAAGAGGGGATGGCACAGGGATAAAACAGAAGTAGAAACAAACAGGAGTGATCTGCTTTCTGAGAAAAACACAAAATGAAGAAAGGTCAACGGAGAACTGGGTGCTAAGATTTAAAAATAGGGTATCACTCATATCACTGGCAAATCTTCCAGTGACAACATCTTATTGCAGTTATTTATTTAATTAGCATATCACATTACCTTAAATGCTTGATATTAAACTCAGATGAGTGTCAAGAGACACCATGAAAAAGCAAATTAACTGTATTAAATAACAGAAAAATGAAACTTTTCAGTAAGGCATTATCAAAACACACAAAAACATTAAGTTTACCTCAGCTCCTAAACTAAGGGAGATTATTTCATCCTCAAAGGCAGAATGCGTATCAATATGAGGAGGAATTCCTGCATGAAAAAAACCAAAATGTCAGTATAGCAGAGAGCTACCTCTGTTGGTAATCTCTGTTTCCATAGATGTCCATATAGAAAAGCTGGATGTATGGCCGAACAAAGAAAACACCATAAACAAGAGAGTTGCCTTCTAAAACAGTTCAGGACTACATGCTCAGATTAGATGCACACAGTTAACCAAGTGTCCTGTATAACCAGTGGAAATATCTAAAAGACAGCTGAGGTCACACAAAGGCCTCACTCACCCTCTGAAGACTCCAAATGCTCTCCTTGCTGCAGAGAGCACCTGAAATCACTACGCACTCCTCCTAGGCAATTTAGCACTTAGCACTAAAGGTTACGCTACATTTGGTGGTTTTGGGCCTTAGTTCACCTATAATCATAGATTTCTCCCTCATTCTCTTCACAGAGAAGGAATCATCCCAAACAGTCCCTTTGTTGCTAAGCAGATGACTGTGCTAAGGGTCTCAGCTTCAGAATTAGGACCTACGGACATAAACACAGGCACTGTCAGGGTTAAACTCTGCCCTTGCTTTAGAGTTCTCAGGAGAAGTCCACAAACCATTGCCAGGCTAACCCCTGGGTAGTGCATTAGCACATCTGTTGGCATGTGTATAAGTAAACACACATAGCTGAGAATTGCCGAAGAGGCAGCGATTTGATTTTTCAAAATCTTTTTCTTTCAGATCTGCTAATCGGAGAGAAACTGCCATTCGCTACAGCTTGTGCCAGACATTTTAACACCAACTCCTGAGACAGCAACGTGCAGCCACAGCAAGACCTCCCCACAGGAGCCAGCAGTGGAGCACAGCCAGGCCAGCAGACAGCTTGGGAGAACTGCAGCTAGACCCTCCTTTGACACCATAGCAGGCCTAGAGAGATAGAGTAACTCCTTTGTGATCCAAACCGAAACAGTTGTATTTGCTTATTTAAGCCTCCACTCACAAACATTTCGGACACTGAGCTAAATACAATTTCTCCTAAACCTGTCAGTCAGCCCTATAAAGCATCCTTATTATATGCCAGATTTTACCTCCAGACGTAAATATTCTGCATCCCGTTAGTTTCAGTGAATGCAATGCAAGTGTTTCATGCGGTCAATATTTAATCCCACAGAAAATCAGCAAGACTTGAAAACCAAGGACACACACCTGCTTGTGTTTGCTTGTAAACTTTGCCTCAGTATAGAGCGCTCCAACTGCCTTCAGATGTGTACTGCAGTCAGTGCAATTCACTGTGCAACAGAACACAACTGCTCCTTTCAACAGCACCCAGATAACTCAACCAAGACCACACTGACCTGCCCACCTGTTTTTTATACTCTATATGGAATGTGGATGGCAACTTTCAAGTATAAATCTACAACTTTAAACATTGTTAGGACCCTGAAGAGAAAAAAATGCCCTCAAAAAGGAATTCATTCGACGTGTCCCAAGTGTAGCCACTACAGCTTAGATACCCAAAGTCATCAGTCACTTTCTAAAATCTCAAGTATAATTACCAGTGACGATCTGGCTCAGAACACAAATACTAAAGTTATTAATCTGACTGCACTCTGTGCTCATTCATATCCTAACGATTTACACTTAAGGAAGAGTATTTTGCTTTGAGTTTGGTTTTTTTTAAAAAAAAAAACCTACTTCTACTCTTGATAGAAATCTACAATTCTAACTCATCTCCTCTGATGTCCAAGCCAGAAGTACACGACTCTTACCGCTTTAAAAGATCGTCAGATACATAAACAAAGCGGATCAGCTTTTCAGACCCTCGTTTGGCAGACAGTGTGTTAGCTGTCAGGTACTAATTCTGAAAGAAAAGCTGTTGTCCTTTCTTCGTAAGGACAAATGAGATATTCACTCTAGAAAGCAAGGCAGATACTTAGCCTTGATAACTGACCTTACCAAAAAGCACAGCATGTGATTTATTCCCTAGAGATGTGATTAGAAGCAAATTCTCTTCAGATGTCTCCAGTTTGGGAAAGATTACAGAAACACAGTAACTTCTAATTCCTCAGATAAGGAAACGCTGTTTATATCATACTTAAGAGTCCATATATCACATATACTAACATTTTATCATAGGTACTAACAGCAAGAATAGTTTCCTGGAGACTGGAACAGTACAGGGAGTAAGAAGAATTTGGAGTGACTACAAAACCAAAGAGGATCACTTATTCCTACTTCTTTTTATGATTGGTTTTAATGTTATGGCCTCGGGCTCTGAAACACCATCAAGATCCACAACGGTGGTATCAAAAACTTTACTTCTAAGCACAAGCTCCCATTTCAGAAACCAGTATGAAGACTTGAGTTTTGATACAAAGCAAGTCTGGTCCCAGAGGAAATTCACTAAGCAGATGGTTAAATCCTGTCCTTACACAATGTCACGTTTAGATGCTGCTCTCTTCTGATTTTCAGTTAAGTTGTAGTGGTTTGGCTGGGATAGAGTTAGGTTTTTTTTACAGCAGCTTGTATGGTGCTATGTTATGGATTTGTGATGGAAACAGCACGGATAATACAGGGATGTTTTAGTTATACCTGAGCAGTGCTTACACAGCTTCAGGGTCCTTTCAGGTTCTCGTGCTTCCCTGCCAGCAAGTCAACGGTGGGTGCACAAGAAGCTGGGAGGGGACACAGCTGGGAGAGGTGACCAAAGGGATACTCCATATCATACAACATGGTGCTCAGCAATAAAACTAGGTGTAAAGTTTACCAGGGATGCCATTATCAGGGACTGGCTGGGCACTGGTTGGGTAGTGAGCAATTGTTTGGGCTGGGGTTTTTTGCATGACTTATTTTCCTTTGTTTTTATTTTATTTTCCCCTTTTTAAAAAACCAAAACAAACTGTCTTTATCTCAACCCATGAGTTTTCTTACTTTTATCTTTCTGATTCCTTCTCCATCTCAACAAAGGGGGAGTGAGCGAGTGGCTGTGTGATGCTTATTTGCCTACTAGGGTTCAACCACAATGCAAGTAAGGTAAAGAGCCCAAAATTTTTGAAGGACAAATGAACTTACCTTGTCCAGGTTCATACTGATTTACAGTCAGTTGATCAGGTTTATGTTTGATATATCCCTGCTTCAAGCACTTCTCCAAGACTAGGTCGCAAATTTCAGGAAGACCTAGTTATTGAAACAAAAATGTAAGCAAGACAGGGTAGCTTTTTAAAATTTTTATCCTATCTTTCTACTATAAATATAATAACTGGACAAAATACATAGAAACAGCTTTGTAGATACCCAAGTCCACCTTTAATAATGATCACTTTGCATTTGCTGTAACACACACATCAGAACCAGGGACCTGCTCTGTAATTCTGATGTATTTAGAATATCTCAGATTAGAAAGGCCATTCCTCCACGGCCTCAGCATTCAGAAGTGGATCACTCCTTACAAATGCAAACTACGCTATTTCTACACTTGAACAAAAATGTATCAAATCAGAGGCAAAGTTTCCACCAGCTACAGTAAAAAAGTTGGAGTCAGGAAGCAAAATTACTCAGCAAAAAGTCAGAAATTGTGTGGAGAGCTCTCTAAAGAAATTTACCCCCTAAAAATCTGTTATTGAATTAGATTAAATATCACAAAAAAAATCTGCTGAAGTTAAACTGGTCTTGAAACAGCAATAAAAGTTACAGTCCTCTGAATGTTTGGTTTTCTATTTTACCTGAGAACTTCATTGTAAAATTCTGTTTGCAGTAACACCCACAAATATGCTAGTAATAGCTCTTCCATGAACCTATTGACTTTTATTTTTTAATAAATTCACTTCATTCTCCCCCAGGGAAGTGCTTATGCTTTTCTCACACATAATTTTTTCTAGCTGTGAGACTAGAAAACAGCTCAAATATCAACGATTTTAGCCTTATATAGCTTCACTGTTAAAATCTCAATATAATCAGAATCTTTCTGTTGGAAGCTACATCCACCCCAGTACAAATGCATCACTTCAAAGACCTTCAAGTTTTATACGAATTCAACTCTCCTATTTCACTTTTTGAAAAGTTAAGTCTATAAGATGACTCACTCGCTTTGCACTGACTCACAGCTCTCAACTCCAAAGACTTATTGAAATCTATTCAAAAGTGCCTTCAGTCCAAAGGGAACTCTATTTTGGTGTGCATCCAAGCAAGCTTCAAGCTAGTCAAGGTAAATATACACAGCAATATATGTCACAACCCCTCCACAAATTAGTATCATAATTACATAATTATTTTACCAAACAAAAGGGAAAAAAAAAAAAAAGACAATTATAATCCCCAAAACCTTATTCGACTGGACCTCAACGCAGGGCAACAACCTTACCTCCAGGGAAGGGCAACAACCCCTAGCTGCAAGTGACTGAAAACAAACTTCAAGCACTCACAGTAATTTGGAATGGATCTCGTTCAAAAGCACTGCTCGGTATCTGCTTAAGACACAGTGAAGGCTCTCCTTTCCTTAGATTCTCACCTCTCTTATTTGGAATCTCACATCCATATCTTAGTGAAGCTGAAAGGCTTTATGTAACAGTTCAAATATCGCTGCAAGGTAGGTATGATTTAATTGGGAAGTTCTCACCTCCAGGTAAAGGTTTGTCTTTATCAACATTGTTGTTATCGTAGCAAAACTCATATCCAAAATGTTTTACTCTTCTATGCTTTAAAGTCTTCTGGACTATAAAAACACAAAAGTTTAAAGTAAGATTGGACTACATAAATCAGTACAGGCAATTCCCTATGCTTCTCTATTCCATGTGGCCTGTTAAACCTGAACACCCTTTAACTAACAGTCAAAACAATGAATGTGACCCTCGTCCTTCATGGCACGCACTTCTGCCTTGTTACCTTTCGTATTTCATCAAGCATCATACTCACTGCTGTTTGAAGTCAAACTGATGGTGGTATTGTATATGCAAGGAGAAAGTAACAATTTTCTTTAGCCTTGTTCAGCGCATCTTTATTCTTGCCCTGATCTCAGAATTTGCACTTGATTAACATCCTACAGATACAGCACAATCCTTTCCTTCACCAATCACCAAGTTACATGTTAGCTAAGGTCAATATAACCTTTCAAGGAACAAAATTTAGACAAAAAACTTTGAAGTACATTCCCAGATCTGTTTAGTAGGAGATTTAACTCCACAGAGTTCAAGCGAAAGCACAAAAGCATCTGGAATGTGTGCTTCACTGGCTTCTTTTTGATTTAAGAGCAGACACAGCCGCCCAGCTGGACATCAAATTACAAGGAAAATCAGCCAGAAGGATGTGCTACCATTCAGCGAGACCCAGACAGGCTGGAGAGTCGGGCGGGGAAAAATTTTAGGAAATACAATAAGGGCAAGTGTAAAGTCTTGCATCTGGGAAAGAACAATCCTGAGTACCAGTATAGGTTGGGGACTGACCTGCTGGAGAGCAGCGCAGGGGAAAGGGACCTGGGGGTGCTGGTGGGCAGCAGGATGACCATGAGCCAGCAATGTGCCCTTGTGGCCAAGAAGGCCGATGGCATCCTGGGGTGTGTTAGAACGGGTGTAAGTCAAGAGAGGTTCTCCTCCCCCTCTTCTCTGCCCTGGTGAGGCCGCGTCTGGAATACTGTGTCCAGTTCTGGGCCCCTCAGTTCAAGAAGGACAGAGAACTGCTTGGAAGAGTCTAGCACAGAGCCACAAAGATGATTAAAGGAGCAGAACATCTCCCTTATGAGATGTAATGGGTGAGTTCAGGAGGCCGGAGCCAGGCTCTTCTCAGTGATGTCCAATGACAGGACAAGGGGCAATAGGTGCAAGCTGGAGCACAGGAGGTTCCACCTCAACATGAGAAGAAACTTCTTTACTGTGGGCATGATGGAGCACTGGCACAGGCTGCCCAGGGAGGCTCTGGAGTCTCCTTCTCTGGAGACACTGAAAACCTGCCTGGACACGTTCCTGTGTGACCAACTGTAGGTGTTCCTGCTCTGGCAGGGGGGTTGGACTAGATGATCTTCTGAGGTCATTTTCAACTCCTAATATTCTGTGATTCAGTGCTCTTCACAGAACAGTCCTGTGCTTTGCATAAGACACCTAAAAAATACTTAAGTTGTTTCTGGATGCAGGAATATTATTCAAATAAATCTATACTAGAATATCAATTCAGGATATTCAGCCCCCAGGAGTTACATTTGCAATGTAAGACTAAATTTCTAAAATACTAAGACCAAATACAATGATTTCAAACAATACATTTACCAAGATGCAGGCTTCTTGTAAACTGAAACTGTAGGAAAAAAACAGTGTGAGAGAAGTCTGGATTTCTATGGTTCGCCTACCATTTTGAGTACCTTCATCTCCTACCCAGTCAATACTTTCCAACATCTTCCTTTCTTCCTCTGGAGAAATAATCTTTTCAATGACCATTAGACCTGAAGGTAAGCTTGTAGGAACAGCATTCTGCCAGAAAACTAGGATGTATGGAAAAACAGAACATCATCACTGTTTAGAGAATACAAGACCATGTGTTCTCCATATGGATATTTACTACATATAAGAAAATAAAGTAGTTATAGGAATTTTTCCTTTAATCATACAATGGAGCCCTCACTGGGGCCATCTGTGGTGAATGAATGATCCTGTTTTGGCATGACGAAACAGTGTAAGGCCCAAGTTCTGCACCATGCAAAACTTTCTAAAAATTTTACTGCATAAGAGCAACAAGAACCCACATTATTCAAACGCAAATCCACTTGCGATTTTTCTGTCAAAATAATGGTAAAAAGAATTTCCCATTTTATCTATCTGCATTTCCATTTAAATTTTCTAGAACTTTGGTGATTTGACAAATTAACTCTCTGCCCAGAGAAGAAATACGTAATTGAGTATTGAGGAGTATAATGCAATATCCAGGCAAATACAACATGTTGGCAATGTAGGGATGTTCTATTTGCTATCCTAATACCTTAAAAAAGCTATTTGCTGGCAGAAAGCACAGACCAATATCAGAAACCTTTTTCACTAAATGTTCTAAAAGCTCGTAGAAAGAGCAGAAGTTCTTGTACTAAATAGCTTATAGTCAGTCATAAAAAAGCCTGGAGAGAAGAGGAGGGGGAAGCCAGCAATCTTATTGTGCCTATTTCCCTTCTTAGAGCTAAGAGAAAGATTGCAAGACTAAGGACACACAAGAAATCCAGTGAACTGTCCAGAGATCTCCTGGCTCCCAATTTTAGCTCCTTCATCACAAAACCTTCATGTGCAGCACTGAGTGGTCTGGAAACTACTTAAATCCTTTTTCCTTTTGCCTCCAAGTAATGGAGTTCAAATTAGAGTATCCTATCATGAAATACAAGGAGTAAAGATTATTTCATATCCTGGATCTTAGACGCTGGCTTTCATTCTCTGTGCCTGCGTACAAAGACCACTGTGCTTTTAGCTATATTTACACCTTTGGAAGCAAAAGCAAAAGGAAGCAACATGTAGAAGTTGGATATATAAGAGCAGAAAAATACCTTTTTCCACAAAATTAATATATAGAACAATGTTTTGGCCAAGGTCTTCCAGAGTTACTTCTTTTCCATTAAGGGCATCAAAGGCTTTCTTGGCTTCTTCTGTTGTCCCGTATTTCACAAATGAATATGGCTTATTCGGTGGCATTAAGAGTGTTTCCACCAATCCATATTCTTCTACTATCTTGAGCAGATTTTGTCTACTCATCCCATTACCAAGACCAGCATTGGCAATAACCAGGCTCTAATTGAAGAGGAATTGAAAAAAAAAAGAGATGAAGAATTAGTGATTACATTTAAAACTAACCCTCTACCAAGAGGGCAGCTCTGTGAAGAAAAATTAAGCCCATGAGTACTCTTTTCTGTATTTCACACAAGATATTTACATTTCAGTGAGACTGGTATATGAGGCTAAGGGAACCTTTGTGTGCCCAGCATATATTCTAGCAGATAGGCTTGCAGTCTCTATCAGAGCTACGTCCTCAATTAATGCATGCAGTTACTATTACAAGAGCACTGAAACTGTGAACTGGCGTGTGTGTCTGTCAAGTGAACTGCAGGCAGACAGTGACACTGGCACACGTTATTTGGGAGATATGCAAAGAAGAGTTTTTCCAGAGACCTGTTATCACTAATAAAAAAAACCAAAACAAACAAACAGAAAAACCTTTGGAGACCGTGACTATTTTAAGAAAAGTTTTCTCATCTTTGCCCAGCAGTAGCTCAAGCACAGAGAGATTTATCTCCCCGGTCACATCTTACATCTCCCACACATCATGTTCAACAAATAAAGCCAGCAGGCACTAAAAAAAGAGCATCTAGTTCTGCTCCAGTAGTCTTATCTGAAAAGTCTCCCTCTTGTTTTTACAAGCAAAAGGGACTTATGTCCCATCCTTAGTTAATACAGATTACTTCATGTACAATGCCTAATTGCTTAATTCTATGCTTTCATGGTGATTTATGTCCAAAATTATCAAGCAGTACGCAGTTTGTGAGGATTGTTGCTGGCCTGCCAAATATTAGAAGAAACAATACAACAGAACTTTTGAAAGTACTATTATTCAAGAAATATCCTTTGAAAATATATAGGCCTTTTCAAAATAAATTAACAAGTTCTTTTGACATCTAAATAGCTGTATGCCATAACTATGTAATCATAGTAATTGAAAGAAGTTTAAGTCCTTTTTTAAGGTCTAATGAGGATGCAGTCTTAAAGTTTTGATTGAACGGTTACTCCAAACAGCTAGCAACAATTTACTCAGATTGATTCCATGTAACACCTTTCCAGAAAGCTTTCCGACAATCTTTTCCTTAAAGTCTATAAATGTTCTATGACCTTTTCTGAAGGCAGCTGGTAAAGTGTTCAATTTTTTCAAATGATAGCATTTCACTTCAGTAAAAGGCAGAAAATTGGGTTTAAAACTGAAGGGAAGGATTATTAAAAAAATGTTTATAGAGTGAGTACTGCTGTGTCTATGCCTTTTGTGATGGCAATACTGTTACTGCTTGTTCTTGGCACTGCATCAGGCTGTCCATTACTGATCACATTTTTCAAGGGTAACAACATTATTAATTATTGTTATTTTCTATAATATTTTTAATGGGGAGACTGATGTGTGTAGAGGAAATACAGAGACTCAAACTAGTGCTTTCACTGGCTGTAGGAACTTCACCTACAAAGACCACGACTAGACAGCAGCAGCATGTCTAGTAACTGGCCATGTTCTCCTCACTGAGCCATTTCAATACAATTAGACTCTTGCACAAATTAGACAGTATTCTTGACACAAGTTTATCATTAGCACCATGATTTTGTTTCATACATCACTTATACAAATGTTTTGTCATTGATAAGCATCTTGCTGGACCCCAAAATTACTCTTCGGATAGATCAGATGTACGCAATGGGGGTAGTGAAACACTGGCACAGGTTGCTCAGAGAGGTGGTGGAGGCTCCATCCCTGGAGACATTCAAGGTCAGGCTGGATGGGGCTCTGAGCAACCTGATCTGGTTCAAGATGTCCCTGCAGGGGGCTTGCCCTAGACAACCTTTAAAGGTACCTTCCAGCCCAGCACACTCTACGATTCTCTGATAATTTGACATCTGGGGCAGCATCAAGGTAAACAAGTCTCAGATTACAGACCCATTTCCAAGCAACACTAGAAAAACACAGGCCCTGCTCCAAAGAGCATAAAATACGTACAGGATTGCTGTGTCATTTTAGCATATGTCCACATGGTGTGAAATCTGAGTGAAGACTAGGCCAAATTTTGTTACAAAAAAGTATAAAGATCTAACCAATGTTTCCATATTTGAATGGGGAGAATTTGCAGGATCAAGATGAACAAGACTGGAGTAAATGATACTTCTCTACAGTGTTTTAAGCTATTAGCATCTCCTCACAGCTGATGGAGGGAAATTACAAATTCTCTAACTTCTCTTTCTGTCTGCAGATTCCTGGCCACTTTTTGCTATACCAGTATCTGCGAGGTCACTCTCTGATCTACTATAACTCTACAGCAGCAGAAAACTTCACATTCAAAAGCTGAATAGCCTTCTCTTAGGTTAGTGGCTTATGGTAAAGTTCATTGAGCATCATAAGAAAGCAGAATTCCCTCCCATCTTGTCTCTTTTAGTGGAAGGGAAGAGAAAGTTGTCCTCTTTTCAACAGCTGCAAGTGCATTTTAGAGGAGAACTGTATTTTAGATAAAGCACATGTGAGAACAGAACACAGATGAGCAGCACTTTCACCCTACCATCAAAATCAGAACTACCTGTGTGGCATGGGAGACGCACTCGATGCCTTCATGTCTCATCAGTGTATGCTGAGCTCTGACTTGCTTTCTCAATACCTTCTTCTTCATTTTATGGACTTTCAAATGATCTTCACCGGTTTTAACCTCCATGCTGGTGATCTGGTAAGCAGGAGTAACAACACACAGTCAGTGTCCTGCCTGAGAACTTAAAGCCTTCAGTCTATTCTAGAGAGCAAGCCTCTCAATCTCATACGTCATCCCTAGGACAGATAATCCCAGATTTTACGGAATATTTGGGGCTGACCAAAGTGAGTCTGCAAAGTATGTCCTTCCTCCATCAATAGCTATTTTCCTCATCTCTGAAGTTCTACTATTAAACTCTCATTTATTAAGAGAATCTCTCCCCAAAATAAAGCTTTATAAAGGTTGCCATTACACTAGATTTCATTTACCCGTTTTTCACTTCCTCTTCACTCCTTTATTCACAATATCACTACATCCATTTGCATTTTTTAACCCTGCTTGCCCCTCCTTGTTTTCGCACAGTACCTTCAGTTAATTTCCTTCTCTCTCTAGTCTCTCCAGAGCAGAGTGAGACAAAAAAAGGTACGTTGAACTGTCATGAGATCTGTAACATGTTAGCTTCTAACTTATTCATGCCTCACTGAACGCTTCAGCTGAAGATGAACTGTTTCCATTTGGCTCCTTTTCCTTATTGTCACCTTCAAGTGAATATGACATTTGGCAAAAATTGCTCCTTTTTTTTTTTTTCTTTTTGCAAGTAGAAAAATGAGCTCAATACTCAGATGTCCAAGAACTAGCGACCGGGATGCTCCACACCTCATTTGGCACATCTCCCAAGGCCAAATTTCACATTAAACAACGTTACTGTCATGAGAAGGATCAGGAAACTGCACGTACATTAACTACTGAATTTAGTGGCAACACAGAATTTACTTACCAGTGAGTTACTTAAGTGTCCCTGGCCTTCTCCAGGTTTTGTTGCACCTTTTGCCACCTTTGGTCAACCGTTATACTGAGATCATACAGTACCCTCCTACATCTCTCTGAGCCTATTTTCTTTCCCCTTCTCCCTTCCCACTTCCTTCAAACCCAAGGGAAGAGTCAAGACTTCCTCATGTAAGAACACAACAAAGCTCCCAGACAATGATGTGCCCTTCTCTTCTTCTCTCCTTACAGCATAAGCCCTTGCCCATATTTCAGGGGGTTCTTCTTTCCAAAAAGTCCTCCTGACTGTACAGCTGGACAATCCAACTGCGGTTTTCTGTATTGCACCTCACCGTCTCTTCACCTCAAAAAATGTTCGGGTTTCTGTCTTTTTAAGAAAAGAAAGAAAAAACAACTAAGCCAATCACCACTATATTTACTTATTCAAACCTGTCAGCTGCAGCAACAGTTGGTCATTCACTTGCATACCTTTTGGCTTACAAGGCTGCACAGCTGCTTCCAAATACCTAAACTGCAGACACAATCATGATAAAATAATGATGTACCACAAAAATTAATAAAAGTTAAAAAAAAATTAAAAACTACATTTAATATTAGAATCATCATAGAATCATAGGTTACCAGGCTGGAAGGGACCTCAAGGAACATCTAGTCCAACCCTTTAAGGTAAAGAAATACAGTTTAAATGAGATGGCGCAGCACCCTGTCAAGCTGAGCCTTAAAACTGTCTAAGGTTGGGGAATTCACCACTTCTCTTGGAAGACTAATCCAATGTCTAATTGCTCTCATGGTGAAAAATTTTCCTCTGGAGTCCAATCAAAATCTCCCCAGGAACAACTTATATCCATTACCCCTTGTGTTTTCCATGTTAGTATTTGACCCAGCTTTGCATTAAATGACCTAGCAAATACTTTCTTTTAAATAAACGCAAATATGCTAGCAAAATTGTTTTTAAAATGTTAAAGAGTTGCATAGGAGCTGTACACATGTATTTCCTGTGACTGCTGTAGCATTACCATCACCGAAATACATAACTCTTAATTGCACCAAAAGAGAAAAAATCTTGAATAGGAATCAGAATTACAACAGCACCTCATGGAAACAACAGACTCCAAAAAAAAGAGCAGAATAAATGCTGCCAAAGAAGACTCAGTCTACTGCCACTCCTTACCAATTTACAGTTCTTCCTCCTACCCTTGCTCTTCCAATCCCAAAAGCACTTTTACAGTAGGAATTACAAGCACCTCATGGAAACAACAGACTCTAATTCCAAAAAAAAGAGCAGAATAAATGCTGCCAAAGAACACTCAGTCTACTGCCACTCCTTACCAATTTACAGTTCTTCCTCCTACCCTTGCTCTTCCAATCCCAAAAGCACTTTTACAGTAGTCTTTAAATGAATGAAAACACTTTGTCAAGGAAAATGAATTGGCAACAACAACTTCAAGCAAATCTAGCAAGTTACTGGTATGGTAGGCTCCAACAACTGGAAGCAGTTTCAGATGCCTGCTATCAAGTTTGAGATGGCACATGCATGGCTGTAACAGTCTGAATCATCACCTCCTGGTGAAACAGCATTATTGAAGTTTCCACACATATCCTAACCACATAAAGGTCACATTTACATCCGAGACTAACAAAAAAATAAACAAAATGTCAGAACTAAGATATATCCTACCACCATTAGATTCTTGCCAGTTCCTAGGGTCTCTTACTCGGAGCCAATTCAAGCACAATCATGCTAACATGCAGTGGAGGCAAAATGTATGAGAAGGAAATCTCGCAAGGGACAAAACTCTTTAACATTTCAGTTTCAGAAAAAAAGAGGAGACTGAAATAATTATTTCATGTGACTTCAGAAACATGAAATGTAGAGGCTGAAAAGATCAACGGGTTATAGAGCCAATCTTCATTTCTGTAAAATTATTTTTATTACAGATATTACAGATTTTACTACAGATATTTCAGATATTAGCAACTGTCTCTCACTTCCCTTCAAAGTAACAGTGCTTGCTAAGGGTTTTTTTCGTATTTTATACTCTGATTTTCTTTCTTCCATTCTTGAATCTCTTGGCACTTTCTTAAATAATAGTTTTGCCTTCTTGATGGCAGATCGCACAGGCCACTTCATTCTTTTGACAAAACCACACTTGCTTCTAAAGACAAACCATCCAAAGTAATTCTCTTACTAAGAATTCTTCACTTAAATTCCAAATAGGGTTAAACACAGAGAGAGAAATGGTCCTCTTCATCTTCATTAATAAAATAATGAAATCTCAGGCTTGTTTAGACACAAATAGCACAGTGAAACAAATGGGATGGGTTTACTCCAGAACCATACAAATCTGGTTCAGATGTAAAAATATAGAGGATACATACATCACCCATATCAGTCAGCCCAGTGTCACACAGCTTCTGCAGAACAGACTCAGAAGTAGATGATACTGAAGTGAAAGCCTCAGGCCTCTCCCATAACATCTACACCTTTGTGGACTGAAAGGCTCCATCTGACCTCAGGGGAAAGTAGCTCTGGGTTTAGCCAGGCCTTTAGTCAGTTCCTTACAAACTCCCACATTCTCCAGGCAAAAGCTAAGAAGTCATGGCCCAGTATCTGGCAAATCAGCACCAAAACTGAAGTTTCGAGACTTTTCCATCCTTTTATAACCTCTGAAGTAAACAACAGAGCAAAAGACGGATGAAGCGTGACTCAGCTGCCTAAACAACAGCATTTAAATTGACAGAGATGCCCTATCCCACGCTGCTCAGCCTTTCCCCTGCTGCTCAAGAAGCTGAAGATCTTGCCAAGTGCTGCATCACACTTGCCAGCAACACCCGGGTGCCTCCAGCCCCTGAAGGCACCTCGAACAGCACTGCCTGCATTGCTGAGACAGAGACACCTTCCCTTGGCCGCTCTCGGAACTTGGCCTCAACTCTCAGCCTTGCCTGTTGCACCAGTACCTGAGGCTCAATTCTGCAGGCACAGAAACCAAGACACTGTCTTGACTTGTGAGTTAAGGGATCAGACTCACTGCAGTGAAAAATTTTCCACTCTTGTAGTGGCAAATTTTAGTTGGTAGCATCACACACCGCCTTTCCATCGGCCAACATGACTGCAGAAGAAGGAGCATACACCAGCAGACTACACGTTACCGTTATGGCCTCCTTTTACTAGTGTTTTTGAAAAAGTAGCTCCTGAAAGGCAGCCTCCCCTTGCAATGCTAGCTCAGGTTATAGCGGGTCACACCACTGGTCCGACATTACTAGGAAGGTTAATATAAAACTTTAATGTCACGGCAGAACCTCATT